TTTGTATATTGCTTAGTTCTCCATCCTCAAATTCAAAGTATGTTCCAAGTTTCTTGAAGTTTGCTTCATCCAGGATAATATCATGAAATATCAATTCCCAATGCACAGGAGCTGAAAGGAAAACATTACTATAATCCTTTTAATGAATGGGTTCTGGACTGTAGGACAAAATGCATAACATTAGATCATATAAAAGGTGACTGGTTACACGAACATTAAAATTGGAAAAATCATGAAATTCAAGGTCTCAAACGGGTGAATTTGAATAATTGAATAGTTCTCAAAAAGGTGAAAAACTGCATGATTTTGAAAGTTATTTTGACCCGGGGGAACCCCCCCCCCCCCCGCATTCCCCCCCCCTCTTGCTATGAGCCTAAGGGTAATCCGATAAAACAGATAAAACGTTATACGTCAAGGTAATTGGCATAACAACACATTAAAACGTAATCACATTCTAGTGACACTGATCTTTCATAGTCCATGATTGCAATGCATAATTGATTCTATTACAATTATCCAATTACAGAGAAACCTACCGTGTTTTTCACTATCTTTCCCCTCTTCTTCTTTCCTACTCGCCCTTTCATTTACAGATTGTTTTTCAGTATCGTTGTTGTCTCGTTTAGTGATGGCTCCATCATTGTTTTTTTCTGGAGTCGTTTTTTCTCCGTTGTCTTGTGTGCCTGTTGAATCATTCCTAGACTCGCTGCTTTCTGGTTGAGTAATGCCGCTATCATTCGGTGTCACAATATCAATACATGTATCTTTTTGTTCTTGTGTGACTGTTGTTTCATTTCTAGTATCTCTGCTGTCCTGTTGGTTATTGGCTATAGCATTGTTATTTGGATTCATTTCAACATTATCGTACTCTTGTTCACCGGTTGATACATCCGGTGGAAGCTCTGCAATATAAAATAATGAAATAATATCAAGTCATGGCTGTTACCACAATGGTATCAATCTGGATTGTTATCCGACTGTTCAACAATGCATTAAGAAAGGCATTTGGATAAACTAAAAATAGAATGTTAATGTCTTGATGTTTCTGAACCATTGATATTGCACAAATGAAATTGAATATAACGACTAAAACCGAAATACGTACGTTGGTACTGAGGTGGATCGTGTCGCCTTTTCTTACAGCGTATTATATTATTGTAGCATTGAAAATGTCGATACCACAAAACCGTTCCTACTATTCCTACAAGTACTATCACGAGGCTTGCAACAATTATGCCAACTATCCAACTTCGAAAAGGATCTGAAGCAGAAGTAGTTGCCACCGTAATACGTGTAGCTACATATAAGAACATTCGCGAATTCAACTGTCGGCTGGTGATTTAATTTGCTATCTTACGGCTTATTCATTTAAATGTGAATATTAGCAGTTACTATGCATGTCTAAATCAGTTGGCCCTTTAAATACGATATACGGATCCATATACTGAATGAGGTTTAAACTTGCCTTTTACACATGACGGAGGTGAAGGAGACCATGCCCCATTAGCTGAACATAGTACTGAAATGTTCTCTGACAATGAGTATCCAGCATTACACTGAAACGTTACGATGTCTCCCTCACCGTATTTATAATCCATTGGAACATAAGTACCAAATTCAGGCATGGTTGGTGGGTCACAATACACTGTAATAACGAAACATGTTAATCAGTAACCCCACCTATCCTTACATTTTAGGGTGCGATAGATAAGAGTGAAACTGTAAGGTATTTAAAGATATATACTAGAAGACAGCGCTCTTTTTACATTGAAAACTCAACATTTAACGTGAAATTTCTCTCCATTTACCTTTACAGCGATCTTCTACTTCACATGTCATAGATGGCGCCACGCACGCATCCAGACAATCTTTGGCAATTCCAGTGTAGTTGCAACATCTGCTACATGGTTCACATTTGAATACCATTCCGTCCCAATATTCAAGATCAGTACACTAAAATTTAATTTTTTATTATTGAAGGTGCTCCGATTTTATACAATTGGTGTTTAAAAAGTGCTAATATTGTATTCATTTGCTGACATACCTGAAAACCAGGTGGTTTTGGTTTCTTGACACAGTCCGTTGAGGTATTACTACCATGATGAGCTAGAAAATACAAAATTATTGTTGTTCGTAAGTGAAAAAAAATTAATTGTATGCGATTTGATTTTACCAATGAAAGATAAAATTGAACGAAATCATTCCAATATTGATCAAATATAGTTACTTTTCAATCCTGTCCATGAATAAAGCATTTAAAATAAAGATTTCTTGGAAAAAGCCAAAGATGACTTGAGAAACAATTTGTTCGTTTGGATTTGCTAGTGATTGCCCCTCTCCCTACATACCCCACCTCCACTGGTAGTGAAGCAGATGACCAAGACTGGGGTTTTGTTGTTGTTCAAAGTATCTGTGGTAAAGGCACTAGAAGTTCAATATTGGCTACTATAATCACATATTAACGAATAATACTTGCCTTTCATACATGTTGGGGGTTCTGAAGACCAGCTGCCCCCATCTCCAGTAAACACACATTCTATCGAGATTTTCCCAGACAATAAATAGCCTTCGAAACAGTGGAACGTTACATTATTTCCTTCGTCATATTTTACTGATATTGGCATAAAATTGCCGTAATCGGGTTGTTGTGGTTGATTACAGTATACTGGAATGGGAGCAAATCTTCTGAAAAATCGGCATTCAACAAATGGCAAATCTAAAGAAACGTTATTATTGTCTCATTTTATCACACCATATATTATTTTTTTCTTGTAACGCTCTGTGTGTTCTCATTCTACTTGCTTTTACCTTTACAGCGATCTTCCTCGTAACACGACATAGATGGCGCCATGCAAGCATCCTGGCAATCTTGGGCAACTGCATTGAAATCACAGCATCTGCTACATGGCTGACATTGGTAGTTCATTTCATCCCAATACTGAGTATTCGAGCACTGGAAGTATGGCGAATATTTTGTGCTAACGATTTAGCCTAAGCCGAGAGTTGTTAATGCAGCAAGTGCATTTTAAATGTAAAAAATAATTTAAACGACAAACGGCTTAAGGTCCGGAATTCTTGTACACGAGTCCTTTTCCGAGGGCGCCTACTTATTTGATTTGAATCAATGTTTTGTGAATACTAAGTTTGTAGTATTTGGATACAGGATGATATCTCACCTGCGTCACCGAGGAGTTTATTGGTCTTGCTTTCGGGACACAAACCGTAGATGTTCCAAAACCGTGAATGAACTGAATTTAAAAATGGAAATACATTGTATATACGGGTTGGACAAATAATGTACAAATGGGACGCTCACTTACTCAACTTAAACAAGCAAATAGGAATCAAATGTCATAACAATACATCATGATAAACCATGGTATCTTATTTCTTCTCAGCCCTGAGATGCCATGATATAATGAGCTTGATTTGGCGATCCAGGAGAGCCCAAAATTGAGGATTTTTGAGATCTTTCATCCGAGCTCATATTTCATCTAATGGGGGTCATAAAACTTGTGTATTTGTGGGTAATGTATTGACATTAACACAGTGTTATAGCATGACGGTTACTTCAAGGCGATTTGCAAAATTTTGCGGTAAAGATAACAAAAAATGGTGGATGGGAAAGACAGCATGTCCTATTTCTCGCCTGTAGGCAAGATTCACAGATAAGATTTCCTTTTCAACTAGATCCATTCGGTGCGTATATGTGGACGGCTATAAAGACTGGGTCAAATCTGCCAGGTGGTTTACTAGAAGCAGAATATAAGTTGTAAACTTGCCGACTGAGATAACCAAGTTCATAATTTTTAGTTCATTCTCGTGTTTTCTCAGTATATGTGCCTCAGAGCCACTCAAACTATTAACTGTAAGTAAACTGTGTATAAACAAGCCATAAAATGACAAATTCAGAACATGAACGTGGTGTATATTGTAAATAATAAGGTTTCAAACGCAATGTCGTTAGACGACTACGCATGAATTCTATGGATGGTAACGTATTGTATTAGTTGCACATTAGATATTTAGCGGACAGTTACGTGCATGTACACCTTTCAAGTCAAGGTTGCTAGTTCTGATAGCCTCTTTCCATGTCATTGTTATAATGGGTAAGAAATGGAATATTGAATTGCTTATACGAGCTCGTATTTGTTTCCATGACTCGCAAGAGACGCTCTTGTTTGAGCCTCTATAGGGTAAGGAAACAATTGTGCCTTGCTTTATTTATGAAACCAATGAAGCAATCACTGGTGATCCACTTGATTACGCTGGTTACCGAAACGGTTCGTTTTGGTAACAAAATGTCAGAACGTCGAAGGTACGATTTTTCTTTTTTCCTTATTTCACGCGTTGTAGGCAGAATCCCCACGACGTTTTTCTCACAAACATGTATCAGTATCATATGTTTTAGAAAATGAACATGTTTGCGAAAAAATAGCTCAAAAGACAACAGAATCGTCGATTTAATTCCTCACTTAAGTTACATAAACGGTTTGGGTTAAAAGTGCAGATCTAACTGTTTTTTCGAAAAACCGTTTATGTAACTTAAGTGAGGAATTAAATCGACAATTCTGTTGTCTTCTGAACTATTTGTTCGCAAATATGTACATTTTCTTAAACATATGTATGTATCAGTATCATATGTTTTAGAAAATGTACATGTTTGCGAAAAAATAGCTCAAAAGACAACAGAATCATCGATTTAATTACTCACTTAAGTTACATAAACGGTTTGGGTTAAAAGTGCAGATCTAACTGTTTTTCGAAAAACCGTTTATGTAACTTAAGTGAGGAATTAAATCGACAATTCTGTTGTCTTCTGAACTATTTGTTCGCAAATATGTACATTTTCTTAAACATATGATACTGATACACGTTTGTGTTCAAAAATGTCTTGGGAATTCTGCCTACAACACGTGAAATTAGGAAAAGAGAAAAATCGTACCTTCGATGTTCCGACATTTTGTTACCAAATATCGTTTTGGTAACCAGCGTAATCGAGTGGATCATCAGTGGCAATGAAGAGACTAAGAAGAATTAGCATCAAGTACTGATGAATATGACAAAATTAATAACAATGAATCGGGGATACATATTTGAACGAGGTTCGCGTAACCGTCCATCAATTTTTTGCATAACCGCAATTTCAAAATACTTTATTATGGCTTGAGTAGAACATATTAGGTGGTTTCCAATGCTCAATTGGCTTTCTAAAATCGTATGTTGGTTACATCTATATACCCCGAGGTCGTTAGGCAATATAGACCATGCCCTAACAACAAAAATAAACAAATTACTAAATTTTGTATAGTTTTGAATTTCAAACTCCACAGGTTTTCGTTTATTTCATGTTATTCTCGGGCATCAATTTGCAAAGACTACGTTCAAAATATACATTATTAAATGCATCACCGAATGCGATGCTTACATAAATCGTTCATCCTTTCATTGATATACAGTAGTAGAAAATAATGCACCAACCTTAAGTTTTCTGTTCCATCGCGGCCATTTTATTGGATAAATCAGTGAACGTAGCTGTCCAACCTCGTTTTCAGAGGTGGCGTAACCGTCATGCTATAGCAGGGTGATTAAGGTAAATAATTACATGATAACTATCACACTTATTGACAGTTATAACACTTCCCATCTGATGTGCTCAGATCACAGAATATGCCTCGTAATATCAGAGCATGTTTCAGGTGAAACAGAAAGATGCTATGAGTATCAGAATGTAACAATAGGGCAGTATGAAGTTTGAACATTATGTACATGTATCTAAAATTCCAAATCAAACAATGCTTTCATTGGGCCATAAGAAGTAGATTCTTTGTTTTGCGTCCTGGCAAAATCCAAATCATGCAAGGGTACAAGGAAAACAAACACGAACTCAAGAAAAAACACAAACTTGTTTGCTTGAGAAATGTATGATGGGCATAGTACGGGATGACATACCAATTTGCAATGATTACAAACACATATATATACATCATATATACTATATTTAAACATAGCTGTTATTCAACAAAGGAAACCAAAATAAGAAAATACACAATGTATGCCAAAATAATCGATAACACTGTCAATCAAATTGTCTGTCATTTCTGATTCCGACTGAACGAAATGCAATGGTACTTTCAGACCCCTGTGATTGCTATTTGGATGTGTTTGTTTTTTCTGATTTACTCAAAATCGTGCAAGCAAAGGGACGCAAAACGAAGAATCTGCTTCTTAAGGCCTTATCTTTTCCTTTTAGCAAAAAATGCATCGCGTTACCCATTACCTCGAAAACAACTTTCGTTTCGGGAACATATGAAATGTAAAGTATTGAGTTTTCTGATATTGAGACCTATTATAAAGACATATTAGATATTCATCTTCATGAATAGCTTCATTTTTAGTTTAGTTATTTGTACATTCTGCTTTTAGTGAATTGTGAAATCTCAGTTAAAATTGTCACTATTCCATATCATAGCACATCATAAATATCATATCTACAGGTATTCCTATGGTTTATCTTTATGAAGGATCTAAACTGTCCCATTTTTAATTTCCACCCTGTAAATATTGTCACCTATTGACCCCCATATACCCGACCCGAACTGTTTATGGTTTCCCTGCTATTCCAAATGATGATCGTCCAAATATATGTTTCTGCATATATAAATGATATTACTTATCATATAAGCATTAAGCATTAACAGGTGATTAAGAGGTGTCTCGCTGCATTAAGCTTATTGGTTTAATATATGTGAGATCAGCCATCAGCTTCACCTCTAAATTTAGGTTATCGGTACCAAGTTTGGGGAATAATGCTCATCGTGATTTTTGGCAAGGTAAATACCTCCAGAGTAAGAAAATATGTGATAGCATTGTAGCAGTGGTATCTTAATGGGTGTAATCACCCATTTTTCAAAATGGCTGCTATTGCACTTTTTACCAAATAAATGAAATCATATTTTAGTATAATGAGAGGCAAAAACAGTGATTTTTTAAGTCATCAAAAAATTGCTTTATATGGAAATCCAAGATGGCCACCAAAATGGGTCTCAGACAAATATGCTACTATTGATATAAGCTAAAAGGCTCAAAAAACGGTTAAAAGTGACTTTGGAGACCATAAATACGTTTTAGAGGCTGAGGATTTTATTTATTTCTAAATCTAAGTAATAATAGAACTACTTTACAATGAAATCTAAGATGGCCACCAAAATGAGTAACAAACTGAATATATAAACTATTTATATATTACTCAAAGAACAGTTAAAATGTGCTTTTGCAGACCATGTTAGGGTTTTAGAGGTTAAGAATTCATGGATAAATCTAAGTGATAAGAGAATACCTTTATATAGAAATTTGAAATGGCTGCCAAAATGGCCAAAGATATGGCTGCTAAAATGAACTTATACACACATAGGAAAGTTAGAAAAGTTATGTTATAGATATCTGAAACTAGATTTCAGGAGAAAATGGTTTCAATTTAGCCTTTACCAAAGTCATCTTAACCTTTCCCCATGTTAAAATCCAAAATGGTCACCAAAATGGCTGCCAAAATGAATATTTACATGTACATATATCTATAAGAATTAACGGAGGATGTTGGCCAGTGATTATGGTATCTTTGACTAGTTAACTAGGATTTAGGGATTGAGGATTTCAGTTATCATTGAAATGTTTTCTCTTTACTTTAACTGGCTGCCAAATTGGCTGTTGGTTATGTTTTTACTATTTTCTAGCATATTTCTCTCTCTATCTGTTATAACCCCTATATTTTTCAGTGTTCTTTGTTGTTTTCGTTTTTGTCTTTTTTTGTTTTCTTTGCTGCCTCTCAATTTTCTTGTTTTATTTGTGCTTTCTCATTTGTGTTGTCTTTGTTTTTTTCTTATCTTTATTTTATTTTTTTATTTTTTCTCGGAATTCTTTTTCATTTTGTTTTCTTCTATTGGAACCAAAGTTGCCCATCTATTCCCAGGTGACCTTTGAAAGTCACCCCTTCTTACCCTGTTGATGTTGCTCCTTCTCTTGAGCCTCTGTTGGAAAGTTGGAAAAGTCATAGGAGAATAACACCAAACTGAAAGCATGAGACTTTGAACCAACTCCCTACATGGCTAAGGTCAATAGCTTTCATTTATTTTTCTAGTTCTCACAGATGCCGTTGTAATGGAAGTTACATAGTTGGAAAAGTCATAGGAGAATAACACCAAACTGAAAGCATAAGACTTTGAACCAACTCCCTACATGGCTAAGGTCAATAGCTTTCATTTATTTTTCTAGTTCTCACAGATGCCGTTGTAATGGAAGTTACATAGTTGGAAAAGTCATAGGAGAATAACACCAAACTGAAAGCATAAGACTTTGAACCAACTCCCTACATGGCTAAGGTCAATAGCTTTCATTTATTTTTCTAGTTCTCACAGATGCCGTTGTAATGGAAGTTACATAGTTGGAAAAGTCATAGGAGAATAACACCAAACTGAAAGCATAAGACTTTGAACCAAATCCCTACACGGCTAAGGTCAATAGCTTTCATCCATTTTTCAAGTAGATGTTATTGATATCTTTAAGGAATAAAATATTTCCCTAGATATTCAATTTTCTCATCATGGATAGTATGAATAATTGCACATTAGCTTCATTTGTATACCACTCAGCTGAAAAGATTCCTTGGATTGCATTAGATACATGCCCAATTGGCCATCATCTCGAAGCAGCTTAGAATCCGTTGAGCTCCAGGGAATGACTAGGTCATAACAGGTCCATAACGGCTTGGCAAGAAGGAAGTCTTGTGCCATCATTCACTTTGAGACCTCTATACTAGGACTCTTCTGCTTTCTCAATCCAGTTCATTGCCGGGATGAAGAGGGTACAATTAATATAGTTCATCCCATTAGGGCCATCTTGGATATCCAAATAAATGTATTCCAAAATTACTTATTCATATTGGCAGCCATTTTGGTTTTAGACATAATTAAAGTTCTCGACCATTGAAACCTAGACATGGTCTCCAAAATCACTTTGTAACTGTTCTTTGAACATGTACATATATTACTAGTAACATATTCATTTGGCAGCCATCTTGGATTTCTACATCAAGTTAGACAATAATATCAATGACCCCCAAACACTTTCATGGTCTACAATATTACTTTTTATCTGATCTTTGAGCTTATATCAATACATGTTTGACCCCTAAACCCTTTCCTTGTCTACGAAATTGCTTTTTATCTGTTCTTTGAGCTTATATAAATACTGTAGTAACATATTAGTTTTGGCACCTATTTTACGACCATCTTGGATTTCAATATAAAGTAATCCTTTGATTACATAAATTTAGACAGGAATAAAATCTGTAGACTCAAACCTCTTCTAAAACTCTTCAAAATCATTTGAAACGTTTTTGAACTTGTATCATTAGTTACATATTTGTTTTTGAACCAAATTTGGCGGCCATCTTGGATTTTCATATGAATTAATGTTTTGATGACTTGGATTTAGGCATAAATTGAATCAATAACCCCTAGGCCCTAAAACCCAGAATTAGACTCTAAAATTGCTGCTTTTGCCTCTCAGTATGCTTAGATATAACTTCTTTTATTTGGTAGCAAGCACACCGACGGCCATTTAGAAAAATGGGTGATAACACCTATTTAGCTACCACTTCTGCAATGCTTTTACATATTTTCTTATTCTTGGGGTCCAGACCTTCCCAAAAATCACATGGCCATTATTCCCCTGATTTGGTACCGACCAACCCCCCAGGCTGATCGCCTAAGACTTATACTATTAGATTGACAAATATCAGTTGGTGATATACCAAATACAGCTTTTTACCCGTCAAGGTGAATACAGTAGTTTTATCATTTTGATACTTACATACAGGAGAGCAGCACTTAAAACAATCATTCGTCCATTCATTTTGCTTTGCATTGAAAAAGTTAAAGTTCTGAAAATATACGCGCGAATGAGCGATATGAGTTTTAATGTTTCTACATTTGTATTACACTGCAGTACAACGTTTTGATCTTTGTCTTTTTAAAATCACTTGTCGACATGTTGCACGCTACTCGTGCACGTATTTATGACATGTGAGCGTTTTAATCAATTATTTGGGTAGACACACGTCGCTCTCTATCATGTACAACATCATATGGCTTATTGCCCACATCGTGTATGGTGGAATGGTTGACAAAGTACACAACCATCAGAAGCTCCGAAAATTATAATATATAGGACAGACTTACCTCTTGCTTTGACATAGACAACTTGATAGTTCATTGAACTTCCTTAACGTTTGTACTTCTTTGATATAATGCTTTTATTTGAGCCTGTGATCCTCCAAGAATAAGTGTGATATTCGAGTGCTTAAAACCGATCAACAGAACTATTAAGAGCCTTTCTTTATAAATTTGATGTATTCACAGAATCACATTGACATAAGTTCCAAAAAGAAACGTATTACCTGTGTTATTGCAAGTACATTAAAAGTCTATGCGATAACCTTACAGTATAAGTGCCTATAACATACCTTTTATAAAGACGCCCGGTTGGACAAATGTAAAGAGAATTGACATGTCTGTCTCTATCCTGCAAGAGAGAGAATCAATTGTGGATTCTAAGGAATATAAAATGGTCATACAGCGTTGTTAAAATGGAAAATATCTGGACTCACCATATCTGGAGTTCACCAAAATAAGTGTCACCAATCATTAAAGGCTTAACTAGAAACCCGACTAGCAATATGACATAACGTTTCACAAAAATAGACCTAGTTATTTTGATTGATTTATTATTTGAAGCAATGGAATCTATGTTTACTCATACTTTGTCATTAAAATATAATATGTGAACAATACAAATAGTATATGTACATACATGTACACAATTTCCTTTGTATAACTGTAATATTGAGAGGTCTAAGAAAATGTTGTATAGCTATTTTGTTCCAACGAGGTTCGGAAAGGACATTTTATTTCATTCTCAAAAATAGATAGAAAGGAACAAAAAACAATTGCACTTAAACAAAAAATGTTAATAAAAACAGTTATATAAAATATACATGAATAATATTGACGTGTCGCAAAAAGGTCGCGCACGCATTGTTACACATTTTCGCTTTTTAACACCACAGAATGTAACGTTTTTTGAGAAAAATGTACACATATGGAAATCCTTTCGTCCTCCACATTTGCCTCTATATCTCAAAATATTTAAGGCGGATAACTCTGATATCGTATATGTATTAACAATGGGATAGGAGCATCATAAAACACGAATCAATTGATATTTTAGGTGAAATAAATATACGTGTTGCTGTGCTTGAAAATAGGCGAATGGCGTAAATAAGCCCTATTTTAATGAATTTTGAAAACCTTTCGTCTTCCACTTTTCCACATACAGCAGAAAACACATACTTTTGCGAACAAAATCAACTTTTATTAATAGACTAGAGTTTAAGAGCAAAATAATCATGTATGATTTATTAAAAAGTGATCTCGTATTTTTTGTTTAATGTACACCTGAAAAGTTGAAAGTAACAAAGAATGAGCAAAAAAAGGTCGCTGTCAACAGATTCTATTTTTCAAACTCTATGACGTCACAATATGGGACGCTTACTAAAATTCGTCCTTTGAAATAAAACTTCCGTCTACCTTTATCAAGACGAAAAATAAGTATAATAATCATATATTGTTTGAGTTATGAGCGTTTAAAGACGAAAAATAATTCAAAATGTAACGTATCAACAGGGGATATTTGCCAGATGCTTTGGTAAAAAACTCTTTTTAAAAAAGAACGCGCAAGAATCGTGAACGGAGTGCAGTTGATCTAAAAACTTCATCGAAACAGCTTTAAAATGATGTATAACTTTAATTAGAATATTATCTTATAATCCGGGAATCAAAATTACATTCTTAAAAAACAGATGCGCCACCTTTTTGCGACACGTCATTATAATATAAACATTTTTGAGTTCAGTTCACCATATCGATACCCGTCCTTTGTAATAGAACAACCATTCTTATTAATATTTTCAAGATTTATTCTAGAGACAATTTCCAACATGGAAATTAAATATCTTAAATATCTATATGATTTTTATAGGCTTTTTCAAAACCACTTCACTGTCAATAAAATACAGGTTTTTGATTGAACAATATTATTGAACTTTTAGGTAGCGATCTGAGGCACTTCGATCAGGGTGTTGTCGGGACAATTTCTCTTGTGACTTAGGTTATGTATTTAGGTCTATCTCAACAGATTTTACTGGTCTTATGCGCCGCAAATGGTGCGAAAGATGTTAAAATTGCATTTTCGACCCTAAAATTCAGATTTCTTGGGGGTACATTATTATTTAGCTATAAAACAAAAACTAAACAACCAATGCTTCTTTCTTTTGGTGTTTCTGTTAAGAGTAATCATACTTGAAATGCATATGTAAAAAAATTGAAGAATTTTAACTTTATTTAAAAACAGCAACATTTTTTCACCCTAAAATCATAGAATTTAGGGGGGTTGAGAGACATTGATTGGAATTGATTTTTTAATTTCTCAATCAATCTCAGTTTAATATTAATGGAACTTTCCTAAAAGTAGCACCAACATGTCCCCAACACATTACCATAAAGAAAAAACTCAAACTCTAACATGTTTTTTGCCTATATGGGCCAATTTACCTCTCCCCTCTATCCCTTTTTAGAAGGGCGTGGCCATATTGGCATGTTCATCTAAAAATAAATACTTCATGTTCATATCCATCCTCCGATCACAGGGCTTCAAAATCCAGAACATATTCTTTCTTTTTACCCCCAGCAATAAGCAGTTACCATTTCCCAGATTAAGAACTCGCAATCTGATTGGCTGTCGCAACACTGCAACAGAAATCATGTATAAGTCATTGTGCATAATTAGATCACATGATTCAGTTAAATCAGGCGCGTCCAAATTGGTTATCGCAGGGGGAAGAAGGAGGTACGGATTCTGGACACCTGCTTAGGAGGATGGTTCACATCATGTTATCATTTTTATGTCACCAACAAAAAGTGGTGACATATTGTTATGGTCTCTGTTCTTTTTTGACAGTGGTCAGTGGTCGGCGGTTTGTGGTTGGAGCTTGGCAATTGGTGTCTGTAACAAATTCTTACAATTTCAAATAATTAACAAATACTGTATAGACTGACTTCAATTGTTTTCAAAATCATCTACATGTTTTCAGATGTTCAAATCTGACTTTATATTTAAGATTTGACCTTCAATGACCTTTTCAAGGTCAGAAAAGTCTTTTTTCAATTTGCTTCAAATTAACCAATTTTTCAAAATCATCTATAAGTTATCAGAAGTTCAAATCTGACTTAAGATTTGAGATTTGACCTTCAATGACCTTCTTAAGATTTAAGAATATAGATTTGATCATTAAATGACATTCTAAAGGTCAAAATGGATCTGACCTTTAGTGACCTCCTCAAGGTCAAAAAGGTATTTTTTATCTTGTTTCAACTAGGTGGTGACATTTTGTCATGTTAATGCCTTGTTTTACTTGTAGCTAGTGAATGTCTTTGAAATGACATAAGCCTAATACAGTGGGACCTGGGTTAGTGAACACCTTTCTCTAGTGAACACCTGTGTAAAATGAACACCCTATTTTCAGCACATACCTTGATTCCAATACAAATTGTCTTTCTGTATTGAAATCTTTTTTGTGGCTCTATAGATGTTCACTGTACACAGGTTTTACTTTATACAAAACACCTTTATATTTAACTTTAATTAATAAACTGATTATCTAATTGCAATTATAAATTGCTATCTATTATTTGCAGGGAACATGTAGCAAAACAATAAGGGAGAATAGTAAGCTATTCAAGGCTTATTACTGTCTGATGTTCTATTATTAACTAATTTGATTGATTCAATTGATGGCTTTCTCAATCCATTCCAAATTGAGGACAACGATCATTTATACTGCATATCATCTGGAATGCCAACACCCTCTAATTTAGCAGATGATCTCTTAAATGCAGCATCCAAGGGCACACAAGCCTTTAAGCAATTTATTCAAGACCAATTTGTGAAGGGAAAAAGTTTTCATGACTCCATAAAAGAATGAAACTGAAAACATCTGAATTCAATGCTGGAGTCAAAAAGGTGAAAAGCTCTGGAAACAGACTGATTGAGATTAGAGCTGAGCGCAATACATTTGGCCAGTTAGTCATGTTATCAGAGCAGCATAGTATCAGTCTAAAGCGAATATTGGAATATCCCCTGAGTCTAATACCCTGGGCTCTTGGAACACCTGATGGACTCTTGGTTAAAACAGAAAAGTCAAAATTATTACATGAGCTGGAAACATATAATATTACATGGACCCAAACCAGAAAAAACAATTATAGTTTATGATGGCAATGCATTGTTCCATATACTTCCTGAGCGACCCAAAACATTTGGATTACTGGCAGAGAGGATCCTTCAGATGCTTCCTATAAGAAAGATTCAATTAAAGAACCAGAAAGAATACGCAGGCGTGTCTCCAAAAAGCTAATAATAAAAGGACCTAATACCAGAATTCCTAACAATTGGAAGGAATTCCTCTTAAAATGATGAGAATGAAATGCAGCTGAGTCAGTTGATCCTTGAAGAATGGAAAAAGATAAAAATGCCCCTAAACTCAAAGAAAGGCAGATTCATGTGGTGAGATCTGTACAGTGCACCAGTGATAGAACTACTGTTACACATAGAGTTGAATCAAGCCTGGAATCGTCCCACAAAGAGGCAGATACAAAGATTATACCCCATGCAATTAACATGAAATGAACCTGAAAATACAGAAAAAAACTATAGTTGTGAGATCCCCAGATAGCGATGTTTTTGTACTTCTTGTGCACTTTCCAATCTTATTCAAACTCCATTAATTTTTGACACTG